CCCCCCCCCCCCCCCGCCATGACTCCAAAGCTATGACAGATCGGAAGTCCCTATCCAGATACCAGGACCAGCCCTCGGAAGCTGACACCAGTCCCCCGTACCTGTAGGTGACGATGCAAGAGGTGGGCAGTGATTGGGGAGCAGTAAAGGGGCCGGGCCCAGGTGCTAGACAGGCCCACGGTGTGGTCCGAGTGCAGGTGGGACAAGAAAAAGAGCCGCGCAGCACCAGCCCGGCGCAGGCTCCAAAAGTCCACGGCGATGGGCGTGTGGGGGATCAGGACACCGTTCATGGTGACAAGGCTGGAGAGTCACCAGTGGGATCTGCATGGGGGCAGGTTCCTGCGTGAGGCTTTCACAACGGCGCCCCGAAAAAAGTCATGCTGGGGCAAGAACAGGGCCACAAACCCTAAGGGAAAGCCAGCCCACTAGAGGAACAAGCTACTAAAGCTACTAAAGAAAGAAGGAAGTGACTGCGCTCGCGGGGTACCGGGGGTAGGAGCCCAAATCGCTGTAGGCGCTCGGTACCCGCACCCGCGCGGCAGCGGAGGACGAACAGGCGCTCAAAGCGCGCGCTGCTGGGAGGAGCCAGGCCGAAGTAGCGGATTTCCGATTGCCCGCGCAGCTCCACCAGAGGGAGCCGCGCGCCTGCGCCTGGAGGTGAGAGTTTGGGGGAAGGGCGCCCTAAGGTCGGGGTCGGGTACGCTGTGCGCTCGCAGGGAGAATGGCAGCTGCTCTGTCTGGTCTGTTGACGAAAGGGCGGGACTTCCGCACAAAGCATGATTGGGCCTATGGGTGATGGCAACAGCGAGGAGGCGCCAGAAAGGCTGAGACTGGAGCGGGAGAGATCTGCGACTGGGTTGGACCCGGGCGGAGGGCCTAGAGCTAGCGGGAGGGACTTGTGGGCGGAGCGAACAGCCTGCAGGTCCGGGGTGGGGCCTGAAGGGCCTAGGGTGGGGCTTGCTGGGGAGCAGAGCGGGTTGAAGTGAGTGTCAGGGGCCTGGCTTCCGGCCCGCGAAAGCCAAGGCTGGGGCGAGATCACGACTTTAGTCTTTTTTACTGACCGACATTTCCTTTATTCAGGGTCCCACATCAGGACTAGAAGGAGACCACGAGTTACTTGTGGGAGCTGCCCCTTGACAGTTGGAGGAGATGCCGTACCTTGGCTCCGAGGACGTGGTGAAGGAGCTGAAGAAGGCTCTGTGTAACCCTCACATTCAGGCTGATAGGCTCCGCTACCGGAATATCATCCAGCGAGTGATTAGGTATCGCCCAACCCCCTTAGCGTCCTCACTGCCCCCCTTTTCAGTCTTCATCTGAGTTCCCTACCCCTGGCCTCTCTGAAAGAGTAAATGAACTTTCTTACATGGCAATTGTATGATTTGGTCTTCATTCTGCTGCTCTGGAGTGCCATCTCAGTCTCCCTTGTTGGACATCTTTTACTCAGCTGGGTGGTGTCCTTCATGTCACGGGCTTGAACAATTACACATTAGTGCTGACTCTCGGATCTATAATATATATAGTACACACTTCCTTTTTTAGCTTCATATCCAGGTATGCCACTGCCCGCTTGGCATTTCCACCTGGATGGATCAAAGGTATGTCCAAAATAGTACCAATATTCTTCTCTCCTCCCCATACCTGCTCTTCGGCTTATATTTGTGTTGATGAATGTCACCAGCCAGCTGACTAAGTTTGGGAGTCAACCCTGATGACACCTGACCTTCACTTCTCATGTCAGTTGGTATGAATTCATAATATCCATCCTCCCTTTTTTATTGGTACTGCTGCTATTCTCTTTCAGGCCTTCATTACCAAAGCAATTGCAGTAGCTTACTAGTAGGTCACCTCGCCTTCTCATTTCAGTGAGAATTTTTCCATTATACAAATCTGAACACATAACTCTGGCCTACAGCTGTGACAATTCTTTTAGTATACAGAAAAGTCTCTTGTCATGCTTTTTTAAAGAAAATGCAGATTTTTCATGCAGTCCAGCTATTCTGATTTCAGTAGGGTGATATGGAATCCAGGAATATGTATTTTTAACAAATATCTCAGCTGCTTCCAGTAGGAGAACAGTTTGAGAAACAGTAATCTGCAGAATGAAGTACAAACTTCTTATCATAGCACACAAGGAACAGCCTCATAGCATGTATCATTATCTCTCTATCACATTAGGTAAGCTCCTGCTCATACAGCTAAAGTATTACTTCCTCTATGAAGAAAAATTTTCTGACTTCCTGGCAGTGTCAGAACTCTGGATCTCCTCTGCATCTTGTACATTTCTTCTGTTTAAATACTTACCAATCAAACTGTAATTAGTAGTGTTCTTGTCTGGTTCTTTAATAGACTTTGAGTTCCAAGAGATCTGAGACCAGGCCTCTTCAAGATTGTGTCCCAAGAGCATATCCCTGGAATATAAAAGCTGAATTTCACTGGAATGTGCTAGGGATTCAGTAAGTGTTTGCTGAGTGATTAGAAGAACAATGTTTATTGCAGGCCCATGGTGTAAAGTGTTGTGTGATATAATAGACAAGGTAGACTTGGTTGCTTCCCTCTAAGAGATCACGATCTAGTTGGATACCCAGGATATGTATAAATAAAACTCCCTCCGTTGTAGGTTGGGGATTTTGTATTTTACTTCTTCCTGCCATGTGTGTTGGTTTCAGGCACATGACTCAGGGCTTGGACATGTCTGGTGTTTTCATGGAAATGGTGAAGGCCAGTGCCACCGTAGATATTGTTCAGAAGAAGTTGGTTTATCTGTACATGTGCACATATGCCCCCCTGAAACCAGATTTGGCTCTCCTGGCCATCAATACACTGTGCAAAGACTGCTCGGATCCCAACCCGATGGTACGAGGGCTGGCACTACGGAGCATGTGTAGCCTCAGGTGAGCCCCCTCTTCCCTGCCTGGTCCTCAGTGGCTGATGAATTCAGGTGGTCATGAGGCAGGTTTTTTTTGTTGTTTTTTTTTTAAAGATGACCGGTAAGGGGATCTTAACCCTTGGCTTGGTGTTGTCAGCACCATGCTCAGCCAGCGAGCCAACCGGCCATCCCTATATGGGATCCGAACCTGGGGCCTTGGTACTATCAGCACCGCACCCTCCTGAGTGAGCCACGGGCCGGCCCCGAGGCAGGTTTTTAATGAGGAAATTTGAGTTTCTTAATACTGGGGAAAACATTGTTGTATCTTGAACTCAGTTTTTTAGCCATTATTTTGGCTAAATAAATTATATCATATGGTTTTATTAAAGGGAGTTTTCCATTCTCACTCTTGGTAAAATCGTCCTCTGTTTTGTTTAAAGATTTCCAAACACTTATGTATATATCTTTTTTGCTGTCTGTGTAGCATTATTCAAACGAAAAGTCAAATTATGGCTTTTTATGTTGGGCAGAGGTTTTTTCCAGTTCTTCATGAACTGATAGATACACATTCAAACCTATACTAAACCCTCTGTTAAGTGAAGAGGGGCTGAATTTTGTCAAAAATAGTATTTCAGGGTCTGGCTGACTCTAGGATGTGTTGCTTAGGATGCCTGGTGTGCAGGAATATATCCAACAGCCTATTCTCAACGGTCTGCGGGATAAGGCTTCATATGTCAGGAGGGTGGCAGTCCTTGGCTGTGCCAAGATGCATAATCTTCATGGAGACTCTGAAGTGGGTAAGTTCAGTGTAATCCATCATAATCAATATTTATTTGTGCCTCTATTATGTGTATTACTTTGTAAAAGATTAGGTAGCTTTGGTAGAAAATAATAATGTGGTCCTATTTCTGTACATGTCTTTCTAAATAGGATGCAGCACCTAGTTTTTTCTGAGATTAGAGAAGCCTTTCCTTTGGGGCCCAAATGAGATCCTTTGCATTAGCTAGTTAGGACAGTCTGGAGATGGCAGTTTTTTGCCTTGCACTTTGTTATTGCCTTTGTCATTTTTGTAACAGAAGTTCAACTTTGTCTGCCTGGAGCTATTACTCTGGTTCTATCCCTGAAGCTTTTCTTTTTTATCTGAGATCTTCATTCTTTTTTACAGATGGTGCTCTGGTAAATGAGTTATACAGTTTACTGCGTGATCAGGATCCAATTGTGGTTGTGAATTGCCTGAGGTCTCTAGAGGAAATTCTGAAACAGGAAGGAGGCGTTGTCATCAATAAGCCCATTGCCCACCATCTCTTAAATCGGTTTGAATGCCTCAGTGCTCTTTTTATTATGAGACCTGCATCCTGATGAGATCTTGTTGATGGGCTGAATTAAGGAGAAGTCTTAAACGTGTTGAATTAAGAAGTCTTAAACAACTTACGTAGGGTAGAAAAAGAAATTTAACCATAATTATTAACTTCCTTACATTTCACTGAGAGAATTTCTTTTATCTCCCTTAGTTTCTCTTGTTGATATATAGAGAGAGCAGAAACATCCTAGGGAGATAAGTTCTACTCTCCTCTACAGTCATTATGTACCCCAAACTAAACCATTTATTGTATCTTAAAACGTAGAAAATCTAGACCCAGTGTGTACTGATCATGTCTTTGGCCTTGGATGAGTGTGCTTTTGTGCCATCAACTCGTCTTGAAATTGAAAGCCTCTTTTGTGTAAACTTTAAGTAGTCCATAAAAAGAACGATTCGATTATGGCACAGCCTATTTTAAGAATTCTCCTTTTGTTATGATAAACAGCCAACTGGTACCATCGCAGTAGCATGGAGATGGTCCTAATTTGTTAAGATAGTGCTTTTGTTTCTTTTTTGGATAGAATGTCAAAACTGGACCAATGGGGCCAGGCCGAAGTATTGACCTTTCTGCTACGCTACCAACCCCACAGTGAGGAGGAACTGTTTGACATTCTCAATCTGTTGGACAGCCTTCTCAAGAGCAGTAGCCCAGGTGTGGTGATGGGAGCCACCAAACTCTTTCTGATCTTAGCAAAAAAGTTTCCCCACGTACAGACTGATGTACTCATGCGCATCAAGGGAACTTTGCTAGCTGCTTGTTCTTCAGAAAGTCGTGAGCTCTGTTTTGCTGCCCTGTGTCATGTGCGACAGATCTTGCATAGTTTGCCAGGTCACTTTAGCAGCCACTACAAAAAGTTTTTTTGCTCCTACTCGGAGCCCCACTACATCAAGCTACAGAAGGTGGAGGTGCTCTGTGAGCTGGTGAATGATGAAAACGTGCAGCAGGTGCTAGATGAGCTTCGAGGGTACTGCACTGATGTGTCTGCTGACTTTGCACAGGCTGCCGTCTTTGCCATAGGTAGGTGTCTGCTGCTTTTCTTTCTTGAGAGGCTAGACCAGCCAGCTAGAAATCTGTGGTCAGAGCAACACTAGAGAGCAAAAGAGAATGAATCTTGCTTCAGAGACAAAGTACCATGCACTAAAGAATTGGGTGAGTGACTACAAAGGGTGAAGGAAGATTTTTTTGTTGTTGTTGAGACTAGTGTTGCCATATCTTTCTGGATAGGGAATACATGTAACTCAAACTACAATACTTAAAATTTATGTTGCCTTTTCTTGTCTTCTATCCAAAGTACTTTCCTATATATCATCTTACAACAGGCCTGTGAGGTAGTGAGGAAAAGTGGACAAGTGTTATTGACTTCATTTTAAAGATGAATAAATCCAAGCACAGAAAAGTTCATTAAATTGCCAAAACGTTATATAGTTCCTGAACAGGGACTAGAATCCAGCTTTTCTGACTCAGAGTCTTATGTCAATTCATCAGTCATTTATTGAGCTTCTATTATGGGCTATGTGTTGTGCTGAATATAGACCAAGACAGAATAATTCCTAAATCTTATAGACTTTTTTATACTACTCTTCCTGGAATTTAAAAGACTAGAATCACTCAAAAAATGAAAGCAGCCAGGGAGCTAAGTTGTGGAGAAGGAACCCGCATACTTGGAATAAAGTATGGTTATTTTTAGGGGCAGAGAAGAGGGAGCAAAGAGGAGAGTAGAAATTACTGCAGTCAAGAGACTGCTGTCAATTGTCCCCAGCAGGAATATCCCTGTGTGGTGTGTGCTGCAACGAAAAGAGTGCCTCATATCTGGCTGCCATGTAAATACCTTAGTTGCTGTAAATTTTCAACCTTGTTCAATGGGAAATTCTTATTTCCATGAATTTTCAGTTTTCTAGTGGTCAATGAAAAAAAAAAAAGAATTCATTTTTTAACCTAAGTTCCCTCTACAGCAAACTTAGGTTCTTATTTCTTCAAGGGGTGACTTTTTTTTTTTTATCGTTATCTCTGGTCCTCTTTGACTTGTGGGAAATGATTTTAGAATGAGGTGCTAGTATTTGACTTAACAGTTTTCTCTGCTTTCCTTTCCTCTGTAGGTGGCATTGCCAGGACTTACACAGATCAATGTGTGCAGATTCTAACAGAATTGCTGGGGCTTCGACAAGAGCACATTACCACAGGTAATGGCTACCTTTCTAGGATTCTTTTCTCTAGTGCCTGGCCTATAGTAGTCACTCAAAAATATTTGTTGTCAAATGAATTATATAGAAATTTAAACTTTTCCTAGCATCATTATCTGTTGCTGTCAGAGAAGCATAGGGTCTATAGATCTCATAGGATAGAGAGTCTTCGGCAGGCTGCCATGAGTCTACAAAGCTAATGAAGGGTACTAGGATGACTTTGCTTGTTATTTCCCCATCTTCACCCCTTTTTTTGCTTTACAGCAATATATGATAGGCAGTGGCTTCCAGGGCTTGGACTTGGGTAAGACAAACAAGTTGCCCAGGATACAGAATTTAAGAACAGACCCACTTTCAGGTTCATGCCAAGTGCCAACCATGCATGTCTTTTAAAATTTTGCACCCTAGGCACTTTGCTTGCCTCACCATAGTCCCAGTCCTGGTGGCTCCATTTATACTGTCTTCAGAGTATTATTCAATAGCAATACTATCCCATGTTTGCATACAGCTTTATATTTTACAAAGTGCTTTCCCATGCATAAACTCATTTATCCTCATGTGAATCTGATAAGCACACATTCTTTCTAGAAATTATTACCCATGTCACACATTTCTCAGATAATTATCAACTACCCCTCAAAAACCCATTTTACAGAAATTCAGCAAGAAATCTAGTCTGAATACATGAATTTTCGTAAGATTCCTTCCTGCATGGAGGCTCTAATCCTGTGCTCTTGTATCATGGACTGTGTTGTAGTGGTTGTGCAGACTTTCCGAGACCTGATTTGGTTGTGTCCTCAGTGTACTGAAGCTGTGTGTCAGGCCCTACCCGGCTGTGAGGAGAACATTCAAGATAGTGAGGTAGACTGTCATTCTTTACTTCTAAGCAGAGGGTGAATGCTTGGGACCCTGCCTTCTGAAATGTAATCTAATTATTCTTTCTACTCTGTGTCTGAAGTGGAAACTAAGAATTGATTGCACCTCAGATTCTCTTTTGCATGTAGATGGTATATAAATTATAAAAGTAGGATTTATTTGTGTTTTTTATGATAAGTACTTTTTTTATGACAAATACCATTGTTCTCTTGAACAGTTTTGAGTTAAACATTTAGATCTAGAGTTTTCAGTTGGAATGAGAACCAATATCATTTGTGGAATTTTACAAAGATTTGGGCTTTATTTCAGGCCTAAAATATTTCAGAGGTGATGGACCTAGACAAATATATTTTTAAGAAGGTTTACAGATGACTCTGATGTACACTCTAGGTTAATAAACTTTTTCATGAAAAATTTAGACAAATTCTTTAAGAAGCTTCCACTAAACCTTAAATTGGGCCAGAGGCCCCAAAGCTGAAGAAGCCTTATTTATTACTTAATAAACATAGGCTATAAAAATTTTGTGTTTCCTCTTGTGCATTAGAATTTTATTTCTATTTGTTATAGAGAGTGTAGTGGGGTATCAATACACTGCAAGTTGAAGTAAATGAAAGACTATACCTTTTCTGCAGGCACTAGGGGAAAAGCAGAACCAATAACTGTCTATCTTCTGTGTTTTAGACAGCCAAGTGTTGAGCACCTATTCTTATTCCTTCGTTCCCTAGGGGAAGCAGGCGCTTATTTGGCTACTTGGGGTCCACGGGGAAAGAATTCCCAATGCTCCATATGTGTTAGAGGACTTTGTAGAGAATGTGAAATCAGAGACATTTCCAGCTGTTAAGATGGAGCTCCTCACTGCTCTGCTGCGCCTTTTCCTCTCACGACCTGCTGAGTGCCAGGACATGCTGGGACGTTTGTTATATTACTGTATAGGTAGGTTTTTCAGAAAAAAATAGTACTTGCCATGACCTGTAATAAAGATTCTCACCGCTTTCATTGTTTGGTGAGTCATGTCTGGGGCCCAAGAAGAAAATGTTAATGCTTTCTAGGCTTTCCTCCCTTCCTCATTTTTTTCCCCTCCTATTATGATTAGCACAGGGTAGGAGAAGAGTTTTTTTGTTTTTAATTAACTCAATCTGTTGTCTTACCTCAGAGGAAGAAAAGGATATGGGTGTACGGGACCGAGGTCTCTTCTATTATCGCCTCCTCTTAGTTGGCATTGATCAAGTTAAGCGGATCCTGTGTAGCCCTAAGTCTGACCCTTCTCTTGGACTTTTGGAGGACCAGGCAGAAAGACCTGTGAATAGCTGGGCCTCAGACTTCAACACACTCATGCCAGTGTATGGCAAAGCCCGCTGGGCAGCTATCTCTAAATGCCAGGGGGCAGAGCGTCGTGGCCCAGAACTTCCTAACACTGCATCCTTTACTACATCAGGTAAAATTTGTGCTTACTTTACATCTTTTCATGATAAATCTCTATCTTTTTCAATGACTGGTAGAAAATAAGAGTACGCTAACTAAATCTCAGACTGTTGCCTGAATTTGAAGCCTCTGTGAGCAAGAAAGAAGTTCATCATTGGTTATGTAAGCCATTTATCCAAAGACAAAAGTCACACTGTGTACTTTCAGGAATTTAGATTTAAAAAATGTAGCTCCTAAAAAATAAAAAAATAAAAAATGTAGCTCCTACAGATTAAGAACAGTTCTTACACAAGGTTTTTTACTCTTTTAGGACCCCTGATTCCTGAAGAGAACAAGGAGACGGCACAAGAACTCTCTGATTCTGGAGCCCTCATGCTAGTCCCCAATTGCCAGGTTACTGCTGAGTATTTTGAGAAAACTTGGCTTAGCCTTGAAGTTGCTCATCAGCAAGTGTTGCCTTGGCAGGGAGCAGTCCATCCTGACACCCTCCAGATGGCTCTGCAAGTCGTGAACATCCAGACCATTGCAATGAGCAGGGCTGGGACTCAGCCGTGGAAAGCCTACCTCAGTGCTCAGGATGATACTGGCTGTCTGTTCTTAACAGAACTACTGCTGGAGCCTGAGAACGCAGAAATGCAGATCTCTGTGAAACAAAATGAGGCAAGGACTGAGACACTGAACAGTTTTATTTCTGTATTAGAAGCTGTGATTGGAACAATTGGAGACATAAAATCATAACAGATTCTTGCTGCTTGTCCTGAGTGAGATAAATAACAGAGTTCCTTAGTCTTAATAGAGCTGCTTGTAAGTCCAGATAACATCAGAATCAAAGGAGAATGGGAAATCTAGGAATCAGGATTCTTGTGTTTTTGTTCAAAGACCATTGACTTATTCCTTTCATGCCTATTGGTGATTGACCCCATCTTTCAGTGGTGATATTGTAAAGGTTAATGTTGGTAAGGGGATGGGGATGGGGTGAGGATGGGATTTGGGTTCTTTTCTAATCAATTTTAGAGATTGAATTACTAATTAAAATGCCTGACATTTGTGGAAACTGATGGGGATCATCATTTGTGGGGTTCATCTTTTCTTCCCTGGATTTTTATAGTGAACTCCTGACTGTCCTCATATATCCCATCATGCTTTTAGACCAGAGTCCGAAGTCCTTAGTGTGGCATCTAAAATACCTCTTTGGTGTCATGTCTTGCCATTCCCAGAACACCCTGTCTTCTGGCACAAGCACACTACTTGCAATCCTGAGTGCAGTAGGCTCTCTCTCACCTCTGTGCCTTAACACCAGCTTTTATTTCTTGCTAGAACATTTCCTTGCCCTTGTATCTTCTTTAGTTCATACCTACTCTATCCTTCAGAGTTCACTTCAGTCATGAGCTCCTTCAGGAAGTTTTCTGTGATACTCACTGCCTTCATTAGGCGTCTCATTCAAGCTATCAAAGCAGCCAGCGCATGCATGTAGCAGTACTACTGTAATTATTTTCTTGTCTCGTCCTCACTTTTAATTTTATTCATACCTGACTACATTTTAGACATTGAGACAACTTATGGCAAGAACAGATCTAATAAAATGATGGTAAACTATAAGATCAGAGAATCCAGAATGGGGACAATGAAAATACCAGTTAAGACCAGCTGGGTTGGGGATGGGGAAATAAACAAATGTTCAGTCCTTAAGGGCCTACGTAGATGATATAATTGAGCCTCAGATTTGGCTCTATAGGTGATTTGGCAGTCAGAGTGAAGGGAAACCGTTATATAACTGTCATAAGAGAGGAAGAAACATTCCAATTTTAATTTCTAAAAGAAATTTACATGTAACTTTACATGTAACTTGAGTTGGGTGGTACTAAGATACGTACGAAATCCCATGGGAAGTTGGTAAAGGGTTTCACATAATTGTTTTGTCCAGTATTCTTCAGTGAAAGCAGAGAGCATAACTAATGTGGAGCTTAATGAAGGCATTTCTTCAAGGACTTAAGGTAACATGACCCAAGTATACAGCCTTCATCATTCAGCTTAATTCAGGGATTTCTGCTACCTAGATAGATTGATGGACTAAATATCCTTCAGATAATTTTTCATTCATCTTTTCTCTCAACTAGACTCTTAATAGGAGTACATAACAGACAGTATTGAATTTTCTTGTAAGAGCCTGGGTTTTGTGAGTTGTTTGTTGAAGGGTCTCCCCCACTGGACAACTTTTAAGGATAGTGATTGTTTTTCTTTCCTTCTATTTCCATAGTGCCTGCCACGTAGTATTAATCAGTAAATATTTATTGAATGAATGGCTGTAAGTAATTAGATTCTAATGATGTTTTGGGATTGATGTTTGAAGTGTGTTTTATTATATTGTATCAATTATACAGAAAATAATGGAATTCTATCCAGGCTAGTATTTCTTAAAAAGTGGCAATATTGACATTTGGGGACAGATAATTCTTTGTTGGGATGGGGGTGGAGTAGAACTTTCCTGTACACTGTAGGATGATTATTAGCAGCATCTCTGGCCTCTACCTGCTAGATGCCAGTAGAATCCCCAGCTGTGATAATTAAAAATATCTCCAGACATTGCCAAAGTTCCCCTGCGGGGCAAAATTGCCCCTAGTTGAGAACCACTGATCTAAACCGTGGATACCAAGGGACTGGAAAGAGAGGGATCAGAACGGGACAGGTTCAGAAGTGCATTTTCTGTATTTTTATTTGCTCAGGTAAACTGTGACAGTCCTGCATAACATAATAATAACGGGGATGTGTTCTGAGGAATGCATTAGGCAATTTTGTCATTGTATGAACATCATAGAGTGTACTTACACAAACCTGGAAGATATAGCCTACTACACACCTAGGCTGTATGTTATAGCGTATTGCTCCTAGGCTGCAAATCTGTATAGCATGTGATTGTACTGAAAACAGTAGGTAGTTGTAACATAATGGTAAGTATTTGTGTATCTAAATATATCTAAACATAGAAAAGCTACAGTAAAAATACAGTAAAAAAGATTTAAAATGGTACACCTGTATAGGGCACTTATTATGAATGGAGCTTGCAGGACTGGCATTTACTCTGTGAGTCAAAGAGTGAATGAGTGGTGAGTGAATGTGAAGGCCTAGGACATTAGTGTATACTGCTTTAGACTTTATAAACACTGTACACTTAGGCTACACTAAATTTATGAAAAAATAAAGTACAGTAATTGTACTACAATGTTACAATGGCTAAGGTATCACTAGGTGATAAAAATTTTTCAGCTCCATTATTATATGATTGGACCACTGTCATATATGTGGTCTATTGTTCACTGAAACACGCAACACATGACTGGTACTAAAAGAAATCAAATTAAAGTATAAACAGCTGCCAATTTAAAGTGTGACAAGGAAACAGCGTACAGGTGGTACTGATTGACGTTTTAAAATTAAAGACTATCATTGAAATATCCACCTAAAGAAAATTAGATATAGCTAAGCAATTACATAAATAATATAAATAAAATGATCCCAACTATTGGAGCTTTTAGAAGATTAAGTTTTACTTCGTTGCTTTTCTGTAATGTAAGAGGCATACATAACAGAATATGCAATTGTTGCTTTTAGAAATTGTCCTTTTAAAATAATCTCAATGAAGAACTGATTTCTCCTGTAGCCTGTATTAGTAATTTATAAGAAAAATGACCAAAGCTCAATTATACCGTGAAGTTAATTCTTTAATATTTCTTCCCTCAAGGAGCTCTCTCTAGCTTCTACAGACATGTGGTTTGATGATGTGATATAAGTAGTTGTTTACCTTTTAAAATCCATGAGGATAGTTGATACTGTGCTCCTAGAATAATGGCCTTCTAATGTCAGTTTTAGTTGGTAAGTAAGCAGTATGTAATGCGTGTAATGAGTAACCATGAAGACAGTGGTGTTTTGGAACATTGCAGAGGCCATCATTTGCATGGTTACTGACCATAATTCTGTTGCTATGGAACAGTGACTGTTATATGTCTCTGTTCACTCTCTTTTTGTATAGGAGTTAACTTTACAATTATTCTATCCCTTTTTCAGATATTGGGTGTTTGGTGGAGAAGGAACACATAACTTGCTTTCTTAGTTAGAGATCTCCGTGTTGAAAGGAGCTGCATCTGAGGATCTTCATCCACATACACATCTAGTGCAGATGACAAGATCCTGGACTTGGAGCCAATGATATAATGAGAGAGTATTTTGGGGAAGGGATGTAAATTGTGTGGCCAGGGGATAGCAAAAGAAACAAGTGAAGTGAAACCATTCTGGCCTCATTTTTCAGTAATAATTAGAAGCACAATATTAGAACTACATGGCTGAAGGTATGTGGTTAGTCCTTCAACCTTGCAGTTCAAGAGGGAAGGGACGGTTTGGGAGGGTGCTATATTGAAGGCTGAGACAGAAGGAAACAAAGGAGGAAGATTTACTCCGCATTGCCCATGAGAGCCTGTCCTCTGTTTGTGTAGCCTTCTAACATCAATTACACAAGATAATGCGAAGGAGTCAGGATTAGATTCCAAAGATGGCACTTACCCATGAGCATAATAATGGAATAAGGAAGGTGGTTTATTATTGTGGGAAAAAATTGAGTTAGAGTTAAGACAGACCTGGTTTTAAATTTCTATTCTGCCACTTACTGATCTGTGAACTTGGGCAAGCTATTTAACACCAGTTAGATGGTCTCCTATAAACATTTTTGTTTTTGTATGTTGTTTTGTGAGTATGTTATAAATGTATTTGTTAGAATCCTTAGATTGTCAATGGCTGGCTCTAGTGTGAAAGAAGGTTGGCCTAGAATTTTCTGAGGACCCTTCTGACGTTAGAGATCTGAAGCCTACTTAGTAGTAACTGAAGTTTCAGCCCTTTTGTTTCAAGAGAGAATGTGTGATAATGAGAAATGAAAATGGCCCTTTAGCTATACAGGAACATAATTTCTGTTCTTAGCCCCAAAGCAATTTATGATCATTTTTTAAAATTAAGACATTTTAGAGCAGTTTTAGGTTCACAGTAAAATTGGGAGGAAGGTACCGAGTTTTCCTGTACACCTCTGCCCCGACACATGCATAGCCTCCCCCATTATCAGTATCCCCAAACAGAATGGCACATTTGTTATAATTAATGAATTTACCTCATCAGTTATTACCCAAATTCCTCCTTGTATTTTCACAGCTCGATAGCTCATTTCTTTTTAGCAGTAAATAATATTATATTTTCTGGATATACCATGGTTTATTTATCCATTCTTCTACTGAAGGACATCTTGGTTGCTTCCAAGTTTTGGTAACTATGAATAAAGCTGCTATAAACATCCATGTGCAGGTTTTTGTGTGGACATAAGTTTTCAGCTCCTTTGGGTAAATACCAAGGAGTGTGATTACTGGATTGTGTGGTAAGTATCTTTAGTTGTGTAAGAAACTGCCAAACTGTCTTCCAAAGTGGCTGTACCATTTTGCAGTCCCATCAGCAATGAATGAGAGTTCCCGTTGCTCCACATCTTTGTCTGCATTTGGTGTTGTCAGTATTCTGGATTTTGGCTATTCTAATAGGTGTGTAGTGGTCATTTGTTTTTTTCAGAATGGAACAGAAAACAGAAGATTGGCTCTGATTATTTTGCAAGATAGAAATTCCATTCTGAACTGACTCACTGTTTATGCTTGAATCTCTTATTAGTTGGGGCTGTTAATGATCTCACTCATAACTGGGAGCAGAATCCATAAATAAACAATAAAGAGAGGCAGTGAGAGAGAAAGAAAGAAACAACAATCACAGTAATATGTTGAACTTTTAGAAAGAGAGAAAAGAACCATGGTTACTAGAGGTGGAAAAGGGGAGGGGAGGGGGCCTAATGAGGAATTGATTAATGGACACAAAGAATGATTGCATATTGTCATAATGAATAAGCTAAATATCCTGACCTAACCATCACACATTGTACACAATTATTGAAAGTCAACATTGTGTTATAGGCGGACGAGCCCCCAAATGTTATAGGCGTCGGGAGAAATCACCCTCGGAGACCAATATGGAAAAGGA